CGCCACATGTCCGCTCCCGAGGCCGCCGCGCCGGAACCCGTTCCTGCCGTTCCCGCTCGTCGCACCTACACCCGGACTTCCTTGTGAAGTGTGCCGCCTCTCCCCTAAGCCGCCTCACCCCAAACAACTGGTCGCAAGTGGTGCGGCAATCGCCCTTGGTCCTCAAGAAGGTGCAGTGTTGCTAGCTCATGTCAACGTATATAACAACCCCTACACTCAATGCCCATTACTAACATCATTCCCTGAGTGTCACTTCTCCCTTAGGGGTGGATAGAAGAAAGCTGAACTTCGGTATTATAAACACCAGCCAATGGGATTGGATGGGCACGTGCTTGTGTGTTTGAGTATTGTTGTTGGCGGTGGTGAAGTAGATGTACAGTACATGTAGTGGGTGTATTCTCAAGCAGAACAAGTTGGAGTATGCTTTGTTATTATGATCCATATGAACAGTACGTATGCAATGAATAATGCATATGCAAATATATATACAAATACGTGTGTGTGTGTGCTGTGTGTATGTGTTTGTGTGTCTGTGTGTGTCTGTGTGTTTACGCATATTATGTGTACACTGTATGTATATATATATTTATATATATATATATATATATTATATATATATATTATATATATATATTATATATATATTATATATATATTATAATTACATATATTTTATATATGTATTTATTAATATGAATACATATGTGTATATTATATATATATACATATGTTAAATATATATATATATATATATTATATATATATATATATATATATATATATATATATATGTATTATGTATTACATACACACATATGTATGTGTATTATCTATATTATATATGATATATATATATATATATATATATATTATATATAATATATATATATATATATATATATCTGTATATGTATATGTATGTATATGGATATGGCATGTATACACCTAGATATGCAGATAACAAGCTAATACTTTTTTCAAGTACTGTACTGCCTTACGTATTGTTCATATAGATGGTTAATACCAACTATATATTCAGCCTGAGAATCTCTTCTTAATAAAACTGTAGTGTATGTAAACCATATACACATATGCAGTCCACCTCAAAATGTATAGAATAATAAGAGAAAGACTCTCAGGTTGAATAAAACATTGTTGATATTATAGAGTACTAACCTTTATAGATTTATGATGCATGGAAGATTAATATGACATCATTTGACAGATGCTTATGTATAGTTTAGAACAGTAACATGCAGTATGTGATATGTGGAATAAAGATGTTGAAAAGCTGTGCATGAAGATAAGAGATTAATGTTTATACAAAAAACAGGTGCCTTATTTCATCATGAAAATACCTTGATAAATGAATGGTAAAAAGATCTATTTTAAAGCATGGGACCAGAATGTTTGTAATACAAGTGTTGATTTATGAATAACAAACATCAATCCATATTTTCTAATGTAAATTTTCCTATAAATACTCGTAAATGGTAAGACAGCATGTTCATATATTTATAAATGAAAATGATATTTGAATAGAAGTTATTTTCAGAAAGATTATACTCAATGAAAAACCCAGTGATATAAAAGGAATATGGTGCCCAGGATAGAATTATATTAATTAGGATTGGTATATGTTTTCATGGTATATAACTGTATTCCATGTGCAATGGAAACAGCCTCATCCTCAGAAACTGTATAACATAGTATTATGACTCAGATTGAGAATTATTTCAAAAGTGCATTACTCAAGTTTTTTGCCCCCCCCCCCCTCATAATGAGGAAAGTGAAAAGAGCACCACGTAGATTAAATACGAAGTAAAAATTATTACACAGGACTTACAGATAGGGAATATTCTTTTTTTTTTTTTTTAGAAATGTAGAAAACTATTTTTAGGTAGAACTTCTTATAACTATGAAGTACATATGGGATATTTTATTACTATGAATCTTCATTTGGGATGTTTTTTAACTATGAGGTATTTATATGGGATATGGGAAGAGAAATAGATTTCATGTTCTGGTTTGCAGTGCTGTGCAACTTGCAACAAAAGCATACATTGTGTCCGAAAACCCCTTGTTTCATGCACGATAATAGTTTTGTAATTAACTCAAGTATCAATCTTCAGTGCACGTTCATTTATTTGTTAATTACTCTTCTAACTGTTTCTTTGTTGATATCTAATTAACTTGTTATTTAAAGAGACTTACCAAAGATTTTTTGTTTTAAGTGTTTTCCCTTAATATTTTTGTTCGAAGTGTTTCCCTTAAACATGATGTTTTTAAGCTTGAAATGGCTTGTGTCTGTATGGCAGCATCTTACGACATAGGGTATCTTCCCTGTGAATATATTTAGTAAAAATCTCTAGTTGTATCATTTACCTTTTGAGTAGGAAGAAGAAATGTAACTTAGTTTTCCAGTAGTTGTAGATTTGGGAAATGTAATTAAGGATTTAGGAGTAAGAAGCATGTATATACGAAACAACACACACGCACACACACACACACACACACACACACACACACACACACACCACACACACACACACACACCACACACACACACACACACACACACACACACACACACATACACACCATACACACATACACACAAACACACACACACACACACACCACCACACCATACCACACACACAGACATATATGTGTGTGAAAGTGTGTGTGCATGTAAGTATTAATATATAATATTTATGTATCATTTTATCATTGTATATATTTTGATTATTTATTTTAAATGTACTGTGAAAAAGCTCATGATGTTCAGAAATATTTCTATGTAATTAACTCAAATGTTGTATATATAATATTAATCACTATTAATTTTGTATTTCTCTTAAATTAACTTTCATGGAAATATTTTCTTTCATGACTTTCTTTCTGTATCATTTTATTTTATTTATCACTTACCTATCCTCAGCCATTTATCCTTCATAAGTCTATCCTCTCCCTTATCCTAGACTCACAGGACAAAATATTTTTGTACCGTTTGAAAAAAAGGGAAAAAAAAAATGTCCTGATTCCCTCCCACCCATAAGGGATTCCAGATACTGCACGCATTTTAGGTGAAGGACTTGTGTCGTTGCACTATTTCTATGTGGTAATTGGTAGCACGTTGGTCTTTCCGTCCACAGAGCTGGCAGTATCAAGCAGGTGTGGTAGCGACACTGAATGAACAGGGAGACGCAGCCCTTAATGCAGTGCCTACGTACCTCCAGGTATGGGGTTCTTGCTTCTCTCAGTGAAAATGAGGGATTGTTTTTCTTCTCATTATTATTCATACTATTGACATTAGCCTATAGGAACAAATTTTATGCTGAGAATTACATCTGAAAATTTAATACAACCTATATTGTTATATACCTCACATCTCACACCCCACATCCCATTTCCTGCAGGCAAGTGACCTGGAGGACGCGGCAGCCTTGGCCAAGAGGGAACTGCGCTGGACCCTGGTCAGAACAATGTCCACCACTGAGGAAGATGATAATGGAAATAACAGCACCTCTTAGAAGAATGGTTGTGAAGTTTGTATATTAAATAACAGTGGAAGGAATTTTATGATGTTGCGTTAATATTAATTGTGTTTTTATAAACAGATATATATGTATACATGTAAGGATTATCATGTGAAGTTGTCTTTTTGATACATGTTTCTTTGTCTCTTTGTCTTTTGTGGCATTTGACTTGATGTCAAATGCATTTTTTTTTTTTTTTACAGATCTGTTGATGTTAGATGATATGTATTGTAACAGAACTTGCCTTTTGTTTTTTATTCAATAACGTACACAAATGATCTAAAATTCAGCTACATTATCAAGCCAGAAATGTAACACACCACTATAGTCAACATATACCACAGGTTGAGACTTTTAGTATAAAATAAAACAAAGTGAAATTAATTGAACCACAAATCCATAGAAAATTACCTTCAGCATATTCACCACAAAAAAGCAGCCATAACTGATTGTCATTGGCTGGCTTTCCCCTTGAATCTCATGTGTCTGGGCTTGAAAAGGGTCAGGGATCCAATTCAGAGCCTAGTTACATACTCAGTATTTCATAGCTATTTATGAGGGATTTACATAAAGTATATATATTTATATCATGTCCTTTTTTTCTGTTTGGTGGATATGTTGAAGCTAATATGATATTGGGAATGGCTGATATTGTATGATAAATAAGCGGCTGTTTGTGTATGGTAAATAAGATATTTTTTGTTACAAAATTAGGATAACATGTACTGAGACCCAATAATAAATGCTGTTGCAAACATTCTCCAGCATTATGGTTGATAATATTTATTGACGCAGTGGGTTTTTAGCTTAAGGATATTTGATACATTGTTTTAATGGTGATAAACGTGATGTTTTTAAAAGAATATTCACCACTAAAATGAGTTTTGTCTTTAGAAATTATACAGTGTAATGAGTTTCCATTTCATTATTGTCTACAAAAAAAGATGTGAATAACATCTTTAGATTTTTAGTTGCTATGAATATGAAAATCATATATTTATATATACATATTCTTCCTATTCATGGAGGTATTTAAAGTAATTGCAAAATACAAAGTAGATGCATTGGTTCTCACATGAACACGATTTGGTAAGACTATACAAAAATGTGCCTTTTGTATTCTATAAGAAGTTTCTTTTTTTTCTTTTTTAACAAGCAAGAAATAGTAATTAAATCTTCGTCTTTAGATCAAATGATGTAACTTCTGATCATTAGAAATAAGTGATTGTAGTGAGTCGACTATTAATGTTTAGAAAAGAATGTTTCCTAGTGCTTGCATCTTTCGCATTCTTTTTTGGTTTCATTTTGTTATTAGAAACCCCATTTTTGTTGGTTTCTTTTGTTGATTCATGTCTTATTTTTTTCTACTATATAGAAGAAGTTAAAATTCTCTATTGCTCTCTCTCTTTAATTTATCTCAAAGAAAAAAAATATAATGCATTTTTTTTGTGTATTCAT